CTATTCTCTCCCAGTATGCCTTATCAGCCTGTCAACCAGTTGCATGAGTTACACCCCTCTTGAAAGACTCTGTTGACAGCTTGGGGGTGCTTCTGGACCTTTCTGGACCTTTTTGGACAGAGGACATTTTCTTTAGCCACCCTCCGATTGTGGAATGACCTGCTGGAAGAGATATGCTCTCTAAGTTTAGAATAGCCGCAAAAACCAGTCTCTTCTATTAAAAATGCAGGTGGTTTTCAAATTATTGTATATATGTATGTAACTGTATATAATTGTAAATTAAAGTATGCACTAACGTGTACAGGTTGAGTCTCCCTTATTTGGAATTGTGAAATCTGAAATATTCAAAAAACCAAAACTTTTTTCATGGGTGGCTGAGATAGTGACATCTTTGGTTTCTGATGGTTCAATGTACACAAACTTTATTTCATGCAGAAAAGTTAATCAAAATGTTATATGAAATTATCTCCAGGCTATGTGTATAAGATATATATGAAACATGAATGAATTTTGTGTTAAAATCCCATCTCCAAGATATCTCATTATGTACATATATGCAAATTGTGGTATTCCAAAATCCAAAATAATAATAACCCCAAATCCAAAACACCTCTACTCCCAAGCATTTTGGGTAAAGGAGACTCAACCTGTATTGGCTTTGTATGCTTTTTAAATTGGTGTTATGTGTCATGCATAGTGCAAATATTTACCAATGGGGTTACTATAGTACACTTGCTTTACCCAGTCTCTATTTGTTGTTGTTATTGTGTGCCTTGAGGTCATTTCTGACTTATGGTGACCCTAAAGCGCCCATAACATGGGGTTTTTTTGGGCCAAAATAGTGCAATGTATGTGGACGAATGTCCAATGCATATGGCTGACAGCCTGGTGTACAATTGCAATACACAACATGCTTTCACACTCTGCTCTGTGAATTTCAATGCACTACTTTATGCTGGGTGGCTCTGTGTATAGAACTCCACTTATGCCAATATCGGCTGGGTGCAACCATTTGTCCACACTTTATTCCACATTCAAAGGGATCTTGTAGCACCTTGGAGACTTGGGCTGCATCTGCAGAAATAATGCAGTTTGACACCACTGTAACTGCCATGGCTCCATCCTACAGAATCCTGTGATTTGAAGTTTGTTATGACACCAGAGTTTACAGAGAAAGCTAAATCTCTCACTAAGCTACACATCCCAGAATTCCATAGCACTAAGCTGGGGCCATTAAAGTGGTGCCAAACGGCATTATTTCTGCAGTGCAGATGGAGCCGAACTGAGCCAAAGGCGTTGTAGCATTAGCTTTCGTAGACTTGGTCCACTTCCTTAGATGCAAGATGCAAGATGGAAAGCTTATGCTACAACGTCTTTCAATCAGTCTCAAAGGCGCTACAAGATCTTTTTGCATACTGATATCCCAGGCTTAACGCAATGATGAATTTTATTCCACATGTGTTACATAACTTAGATCACTGATGTCCACCTGGATGTAGGATCTCAGCCCACATCAGAAGATAAGACAGGTGAGTGGGTATCCCCTGAAAGAAGAGGTACCCAGCTTTTCTTGGGATCCCTTACCCCATATTTTTGGAGTGCTCTCTGCTCAGTGCCTTTTCTCCCTCCACCCATCTGCACAGGTACTCACATAGTCAAGAAGAGCCATTGTTGTGTGCATCACACTCCCTCCTCCCCATGTTATTGGATGATGTGTTTCCATGGCTAGTGACACTATAATGATGCTAACAGTGACTCCCATATACCCTCTCCAACCTCAATTCCTGGCAAGTTGGCTCTGGTGGGGAGAGGCTGAAGAACTACTGCATGGAAAATCAAAGGAAACAAGACTTGGCAGCCAGCAAGACAGAGGTTGGCTTTATAAGGAGAAGATGGGGATTGAATTGCAGGGAATTGAAAGAGCCCGACCACCCCTTTAACTATAGGTCTAGGTAGGAATCTGGTTCTATTAAAATTGAGGGGCACCAATAGGTAGGCCTGAACCTAATGGTTAGTCTCATCTATAGACCCCCTTGAAGAATTGGGATTTATGTATGTGCAAATTCCTTAGCCAATCTTTGAGTCACTGGGTCTGTTCTAGTTGGGTATAACCAGTAGGATCAGGCCATGGAGTTTGTGGATTCCATTTAGGGCTCCAAGTCACACACTCTCAGCCTCAGAGTGTGGCAAACCCCCTCTGAAGAAACTTGCCAAGAAAGACCCATGGTGGGTTTACGCCTTAGGGTCACCATAAGTCAGAAATGACTTGTAGGCACACAACAACAACTCTTTCCTTGCTTAATTTGGACACTCAGAGGTGGTTAGATCAAAAATCGGGACATGGCCTCTAAGCAGATACTAGGATAGCTCTTGCTCAGGTAAGAGAATACAGAGGTTGTTGTCGTTGTTGTGTGCCTTCAAGTTGTTTCTGAGTTGTGGCGAACCTATCACAGAGTTTTCTTGGCATGTTTCCTCAGAGGAGTTTGCCATTGCCATCCATTGAGGCTGAGAGTGTGTGACTTGCACAAGGTCACCCAGTGGGTTTCATGGTTGAGTCAGGATTCGAACCCTGTTCTCCAGAGTCATAGTCCAATGCTCAAATCACTACATCACACTAGAAAAGCCTTTAGAAGGGTGGTATGGAATATGACTCTGGAGACCAGGATTCAAATCCCCACTTGGCCATGAAAGCCTGTTGGGTGACTTGGGCAAGTCACTCTCTCTCAGCCTCAGAAGTGGGCAATGGCAAAACCCTTAAGAAAACAAATCTTGCAAAAAAAAAAAACCAACACCACCATAGGTCTGCCTTGTGGTCTCCATAAGTCGGAAACTACTTGAAGGCACACAACAACAAATCTGTACAATGCACTGTGAAAGCACCTTGACTGCCATGGCTCCATCCTATGGAATTCTGGAATCTGTAGTTTGGGATGGTATTTAGAGTTCTCTGTTACAGAGCACTGATGCTGCGATCCAGGAAATTTCATAGAATCTAGAGTTGGAAGAGACCACCAAGGGCCATCCATTCCAACCTCATTCTTTCATGCAGGAAAACACAATCCAAGCACTCCTGAGAGATGCCCATCCAACCTCTGTTTAAAGAGCAAAGAAGGAGATGCCAACAGCCCCTGGGGCAGTAGATTCCAATAAGTACGGTAAAGAAGTTTTAGTGAGATCTCTTCCCTTGTAATATGAATCCATTGGATGGCATTCTAGTCTTTAGAGTGATGGAAAACAAGCTTGCTTCATGAACCTTCAGGTGTTTAAAGATGGCTATCAGGGCATTTCTCTTTTCCAAGCTAAACATACTTAGCTCCCTAACCCATTCACTAGAGGCCTCTAGCAGATCATTCTTCACAGCTCACCAAACTACAAATCCCAGAATTCCACAGGATAGAGCCATGGCAATCAAGAGCTGCTACCACATTGCAGAATTAATGCATTTTGACCATGCTTTAACCACCGTGGCTCCATCCAATGGAATCCTGAGATTTGTAATTTCTTGTGGCACCAGAGCTCTCTGACAGAGAAGGCTAAATATCACACAAAAAAGACAAATCCCAGAATTCTATAGCATTCAACCATGGCAGTTAAAGTCTAGTCAGGTTGCATTAATTCTGCAGCGCAGATGCAGCCAAAATGTTATCAAATGTCTATAACTGTGTCTGATAGGTAGACTCAATATTTGGATTAGAAAGGATAGATCCCATAAGCTTCATCTCCATCAAGGACTCGCATGAGACTTATTGATTACTTCTCTACCCTCTCAACTTACTTTGCAAGGAGTTTTTCAAAGACAATGCTTGGAGGAGAGGACAAGTTCATCTCCTGCCAATATTTTAAGTAGCTTTCCTAATATAGGCTGAAATCTTATATCATGCCTTTGAATGGTAAACCTACATTCACATAGTTGTGCTAGAGCTTGTGCTCAGCATCAGCTTTGTGCAACCAGCTATCTATCTATCTATCTATCTATCTATCTATCTATCTATCTATCTATCTATCTATCTATCTATCTATCTATCAGCGTACCTGCTTCTTGTCCCCTTGAGAGAATGCAGAGTGGCCATTTATAGAATCATAGAATCATAGAATCATAG